CTGTATTAACCCCTCTCTCTCTCAGGAGGAGCAGGATATCCGAGCTCTCCAGGTTAAGAACAGGAAGCTGGGAGAGGCTCTTGACCAGAGGCAGGTGATTGAGGATGAGCTGCGAGATCGAGCTGAGAGGCTGGAGAGACGGCAAGCAACTGATGATGCCAGTCTGCTCATCCTGAACCGCTACTGGAACCAGGTAATGCTCCACGCTGCTCAGGGCGTGCCCTGACGCCGGTCCATCGGCAGGTGCTGCTCACACACCACTGTGGCTATGAGAGGCTCAGTTTCCAGCAGCTGGAAAAGATGCCCGTGATGCTCAGGTGTGGCCATGCTACACCTGGAATGCTGGGGCCTTTTGTGGTTTCTGCTCAATATTTAATAACGATTCTGGACTTGCGTTATATCCTGCGTGTGGCTTATGCTGTTTGCATTAATGTTTGCCAATGCAGATGAAGCAGATGGTCTAGACAGTCCTCATGATATGCGCGCTATCCGTCTGTGTATCCTTTTGTGTATATCGCGCTGTGTATATTGCGCCCAGCCTCTGGATACGAGCGTGCCTGCGGTTGGACCTGTTGGTACGTTCAGTGCGCCTGTATTGACCTGCCACTCTCACGCCCCCCTCCCTCAGTTCGACGAGAACGTGCGCCTGATTGGCCGGCGCTACGACCTGCAGGCGGAGCTCGGGGACCTGCTGCCGCCCTCGGAGGGGCGGAGCCTGAAGCCGGAGACTCCTGAGTCGGATGGGGACAGTAACCAGGAGCGAGGGCGAGACTGCAAGAGTAAGAGAGGGAGACGGAGGGGCAGGGCCAGCAGGGCCGTTGTCCTGTCGCTTTACAGGATGCAAAATGCTCAGTACTTTTTCGGAAATATTGTAAAGCTTATGGCAATTCTTGCACTTATTTACATGATAATACTTATGTGTATCAGGACTCTTGAGTAATGTTGCTGTCGCATGTCATATGCTCGCTCAGATTTTCTTCATTGTAAGAGCTGTAGACCCCCGACCAGCAGCACTGTCACTGCGTCCCTCACCAGGACTTATCAAGCCCTTACCGTTCTTACCTCTCACCCGGGATCTAGATCGCTCAGCGGCTGGGCTCTTCCCTCTCTCATGCACACGGGAGCCAGTTTAAATTATTAATTTATCTCACTGACGGCTTTCACTTCTGTTTGCTGAATTATCACTCCCTCTTCTTTGCACGAGCAAGTATTGCCAACCACCCGAGTCCAGTGCCATAGTGGCCAGTAACGTGTACAGGACACATCGGAGGCATGGAGAGGCAGTGTGGGTCCCGTCTCGAGCCAGCACGCATCGCAGCTCACTGATGCTTCGCAAGCTGGCAGATCCCCCACCAACTGGGGGTCGTGCAAGATTAAGTGGTAGAAAATTCTGGGGTGGATCCCAATCAGATCATCAAATCCAAGTTTATGTGTCAAATGCACAACAATACAGCGCGCAGCAGTAGTGGCTGGCAATGAAATGTCTCTTCTACGAGCTCACCGGAGGGGGGAAAAAAATCACCAAATGACATATACAAAATAGTACGTAATAGTGCAATAGAAATGGAATAAAATAAACTCCGACAGAGCTCAATATGAATAGAGCTGCTATCGTTGTATCCTCGAACGCGTGTAAGGAAAATGTTTGCCAGGGGCTTGTTGCAGTGAGGATTCCCCTGGTGTTCTGCCCTGGTACCATGGGTCTGTTCGAACCCAGCTTCACCGTGTCTGAAGGGGCGTCTGCTCTAGAGGTGCAGCCCTGTGCTCGGAGCTTTATTTTACTGGACGCTGCCTGGCTGACCTAAGGGTTACGTTCCAGAAGCCGGAGTTCCCCACACTAGGAAGCCCCTCTTATACAGCACAGCGGTGGCGCGGAGCAGAGGTCGAACACTGCAGCAGTGGCTCTGGGCTCTAGCGAAGCCACGTTAGGGACCTGCTCTCGGCGCCGCACTGGCAGGGCGACGCCGCGGACACACAGTGCTTGCATGGGACAAGACGGCGGCCGGGGAGCCCCTGTCCTGCTCTGGTGGGGGTGCTCGAGTGAGGGGATCGGGTGGGGCGGATGGGTCCGGGCATACAGGCCTGCGCAGTGTCCCCCTGAGTGTGTGCCAGTGGGCAGAGGGCAGAGCCCAGCTGCAGTCGGCCCGGAAAACACTCCAGCGTGAAGGGAGGCTCCGCCGGCAGGGCGTTGTGTTGTGACCTAAGGCTCCGAGCTCTGAGCCCCCGGCTTGTTGTCCTGGGGGCTGGGTGCCGGAGGCTGAGCGCGGCGCTGTGTCCCCGGTGTCCTGCAGGCCAGGGGGAGGCGGCGCTCTCGTTCCTGGCCACGCTGGCCAGCAGCAGCAGCGAGGAGATGGAGGCGGAGCTGCAGGAGCGCGTGGAGTCCAGCCGGGGGCTGACCAGCCGCCTGGTGGAGGCGTACGACGCGCTGTGGGCCACCGTGCGCCAGCTGGAGAGAGAGCTCAGCCAAGGTGGGTTGGCCGTCCGCTGCGGGGTCCTGTCAAAGTCTGCTGGGCTGCGCAGCCCCGGGGATCCAGGAAAGCTCGGGTTCCGGAGGAAACTCACTCCAGACTGAAAGGGGTAGGAAAGGGCAGAAGATAAAGTAGTTTTTCTCACTTCTATGACTGCTTGTACGTGTGGTGTTGTCAGAAAGCATGACGCACACGTGTGTGTTT